ATATATATAACCAAAACCATTTTTTCTAGGACAAATACTGATACTCTATGTACTCAGATACAATTACTGATACATTTTTGTTTAGTGTCATGTGACAGACTAATGATTTCAGGACAGTGGTGGAGAGCCAGGCCCCAGCTCCAGCCGCTGCAACCCCAGTAGTTCTCGTGAAAATGCCAGGTATCGGCACTATTATCTGACCATCCCTAGCACTGCATATGGTCAGCTAGAGGCACCCTTTCACCTATGTAGTGCAGTAACATGCGTTTCACAGTACAGTAGGTGCTGACAGCCCTACACTGCAGGATATCATAAAGCACAGACCGCTCAATGTGGTGCAATGCATTAAAACATTTTTTTTAGGTCTGTTGAGTTGAAGATTAAAATGCAGCAGCAACCTATTCTAAATGAATGCACGTTAATGAGTAAAATACTACACATCAACGTGTGTGTGTGTGTGTGTGTGGTAGCATATGAAAAGAGAATGTGCAGGTCTTAAGGGAGCCCTAATAGATGCACTTGTAACATTCACAGGCAGGGTTGATGAGACAACCAGAAGGACGTCACCAACTAAGCCTTAGGTACATGCAGACTGGCAATCAGGATGTATTTCCCAACATGCCAGTCTGCATTTGCTTTAGGGTTCATGTTCTCTATGCTCTATTGTTTCCATAGATGTAGAGTACAGTACAGCAAGCAATCAATAGCACTGCCTACTACACCCATAGTCAGGTTAGACATTATCTAGAACGTGATATGCTGAGAGTACATAGCAAAGGCAGAACAGTACAATTTGGTTCTGGAACCATGGTGCTAATATTTGAGAGTTAGTGCTGGGCTTACAGTGAGGGTTAGTGCTGGACTTACAGTGAGGGTTAGTGCTGGACTTACAGTGAGGGTTAGTGCTGGACTTACAGTGAGGGTTAGTGCTGGGCTTACAGTGAGGGTTAGTGCTGGGCTTACAGTGTAGGTTAGATTGAGGGTTAGTGTTGGGGTTACCGTGTAGGTTAGATTGAGGGTTAGTGTTGGGGTTACGGAGTAGGTTACTGCTGAGGTTACAGTGAGACTTAGACCCCATTCACACTGAGCGATTTCAGCTTAAAAAAAAGAATTTAAAAAAAAAGAAAAATTCGCTGAAATATTAGCTCAATGTCGCTCGTCCAACGCATTTCAATGGAGTTGTTCACATCTCGCAGCTCAATGTCGCCTGTAGCTTGTCGCACAAACATGAACACTTTTGCACAGAAATATAAAAGGAAGGAATGATGTCACATCAAGGCCGCTTTTGATTGGTTACAGCCCAATGTAGCAGCTACAAAGTCTTTGTGAAAAGTCACGTTACATATCGCGACAAAATGTGCACTGTAGCTCAATCTAGCTCAGCTCAAAATCGCGCTGAAAAAAGCTGGATGTAGCTCAGTGTGAATGGGAACACGAGGTCTTGCGGCACTCCTTACCGGAACATCCAAAGACCCGTGCAAACAGGTGGGTGCTTGTAGTGACCACGGGTGGCAACGTGAGTAGCTCAAATGAAGAAATAAAGTCACCAGCACACCAAATGGTAATTTAGCAATAGTCCATTTAATGACACATTGCCATTCAATGCCGGCGTTTTCGGGGCCTCAAGGGGTCCCCTTCATCAGGCTCAGAATGCCTTGAGGCCACGAAAGCGCTTGCATTGAATGGCAATGTGTCATTAAATGGAATATTGCTAAATTACCATTTGGTGTGCTGGTGACTTTATTTCTTCATTTCAGTGTGAATGGGGTCTCAGTGTGAGGGTTACAGGGAGGGTTTGTGTTAAGGTTACAGTTAAGCTGGCCATACACCTATAGATTTTCTATGGTCAGATGGAAAAAGCGCAACAGTTTCCTCCATCTACGCTAAACTGTGTGGATGGAGTTATCTCACACTGGGCCAAGCTTCAGTATCTTGCTAGTCGGCCCCGCTGGCTCTCAAAAAATACCTGAACAATCTGATTGGATGCAGGCATTGTTCATGTGTTTTGCCGACTAGCAACATACTGAAGCTTGGCCCAGTGGTAGATTCCTCCATCTACCCAGTTTAGCGTAGATGGAGCAATCTGTTGCCATCTGACCATAGAAAATCTGCAGATAATCTATAGGTGTATGGCCAGATTTAGTGTTGAGGTCACAGGAAGAGTTAGTGTGAAAGTTTCAGAGAGGGCTGGTGTGAGGGTTACAGGGAGAGCTAGTGGTGGGGTTACAGGGAGGGTAATTGTTAAGATTACAGGGAGGGTTAGTGATAAGGTTACAGTTAGTGTTGGAGTAAAGGTGCCCATACACCTTACGATTATCGGACGAAACTTTTAGTCCGATCGAATAGTCGTACGATTTTCGTACGGCAGCCCCATCCTGCCCCGATGATCGCAAGATTAATTTAGCCGTAATTAACGAAAAGCACCTGGACGAAATGCGGTAATTGATTTGCGTATTTTCGTTAGCGCAGGCGCAGTGTAGATCGTACGACTTTTGACGGACGGAAACGCCAGCAACCTTACGACAATCGTACGATCTAGCAAAGTTTTCAAACATGCTTGACCGTCAAAAGTCGTACGATTGTACAGTAATGTCGGTCGGACACTGCAATGCAAACATACGATTATCGGACGAAAAGTCGATCACATACGAAAATCGTCCGATAATCGTAAGGTGTATGGGCACCTTTACAGGGAATGTTGGTGTGAGAGTTGCAGGGAGGTATATAATGTGAGGGTTACTGGAAGGGTCGGTGTAATGGTTAGTGTGAGGGTTACTGGAAGGGTTAGTGTGAAACATTATTTGAGGGTTACTGGAAGGGTCGGTGTAAGGGCACAGGGAAGGTTAGTGTTGGGGCTACAGGGAGAATTGGTGTAAGAGTTACAAGGTTATAAAAACTACCAGCACAAACGTCCAAACACTGAAACCTAACAATGACACCCAAACCATTTCCCCAACATAGTAAAATGAAAGGGCTTCCCATTCGGTGTAACAGATATACTGAAAGCTGTGAACCTGTCATCACACCGTAGAAATCTCTTTTACACAATATTAAGCACATCAATTTCACTACCTGTTAATAAATGGATATTATCAGCTGCTCAGTGGTACATTACATGTCCTATTTAACAACTCAATGAGGACATCACATGGCTTATCTCAACCCAATCAGCACAGTGCAGTGACCTAAAGCAGCAAATTCAAATTTTAGCTGATATAGTAAGACAGGTGAAAGATGAATTTTGATTGGCTGCTGCAGACCCCTGCACTTGTTCTTGCTATGAGCTGTCATTTGGGATTTTGCAGTTGGCACTTACCTGAGTTTTAAATTGGCCATAAATTCTGGTAACGTAACGGAGTCCATGAGGACAAAGTCCGCTTTCCCGTACTGCAGCCCCTCTTGCTCCGCCATGGTCCCGGCGACACCGCTGCTATCTCAGCGACACCACGACTCTAGTTGAGATGTAGAAGACAAGCTGCACTTCCAGTCAGTACACAACTAGGCAGAACACCGCAGGACAGCAATGTGACACACAGATGCACCCTGCCTGCAGGAACAGTGACTGTCACACCCAGGCTGTACTTGGTTCCCTCTCGGATTCCACTCTCTCCCTGTCATTCCCAGGTGTGTGACTTGTAAGACTACAATGCCTCTGGGAATGCGGGAGTCTCTTAACAGGTGAGGTCCATGAAGAGGAGGACGTTTCTTAGAACTCTGATGAAGCGTATGTTCTCCTTGCAGATCCTGTATTTCTGGCACAATGGAATGTTTCACCAAAAAGGAATGCTATAAAATATCACATAAAAAAAAGTGCAGCACACACACACACACAATGGGATAGGATCTCCTTCATAAGGATGAGATGTAGCAATGCTATGAATTAAGTTATAAAGGTCTTACAGTGCAGGAATGTGCTCTGGTACAAAGTGTCCTTTGATCTGCCGCTGAATGACAGGTCCCAGACGTAAGATCAGTCTCCAGTGGGATAAAGTGCCCTCTATCCATAAAGGGAGAGACCAGGAAGAGTGTGTGGGAGAGGTGAAGGAAGGAGGAGGTAAGAGAAGTTGGGAGGGAGAAGGCACTACATAGCCAGGGTGAAGAAGTGGAAAGGTGAGGCAGAAGGGAGGGACTAGGGAGGACTGCGAGCATAGAAGCTATTCACATACAAGTGGGAGGTAAGAGGAGGAAACGAGGGAGGGCTAAAAGGCGGGTGCACAGGGAACGAGAAGAGATGAGCAGTCAGGAGGAGAGAATTAGAGGAGGGCGTAGAGGAGAAAAGCAATGATGGGAAAAGGTGACTGAACAGGTGATGTCAGTGAAGACAGAGGATGAGGATATCAGGAAAGGTGACAAACAACGTCACCTAAAGACCTGAAATCACACTCACAGTACCTATGTTACTTCCTTTATTTTTTAATAATGACTTTTGGGGACTTATGCACATAGCTGCAAAAAAATTCAACATTTTGTATCAGTACTGGGTTGTTATTTTTTATGGATTTAAACACAGTTCTATGGTTTCTGAGGTCATTTATTTATGTGTGTATGCACATGAGCGCCTGAACCCATACAAAGCAAATTTGGCTCCCCTGCCAGCGAGCACAAGGTGCTGCACACAGCCTCCCATACACGTCAATGGCTATACGAGGCTGTAGGCGGATATATACCAGTACTTCCATACACCCGCAGATGAACACGGACGTATGACTCCTGATACAATCAGTCTGCGTCTTTTACACAAATTACAATGTACGGATGCAGGCACTAATGTGCATACAGTAAGCTCAAACACATGCACATGCATATGTGCGTAAATTGAATACACTGGAAGTAACATTTTGTGTCTACTTTTACTTGTTTATACAAGCACTTTATGGAGTAATTAATACACAGTTACCCAGGATCTTTTTTGCAAACATCTTCCAGAAAGATCCTATGTAGATGATCAGTATTGTATTACGGGCTCATGCACACAGGTGTAATAAAATAGTGATATCTACGCAGGCTCCTGCTGGCAGCAAACTGCATGTACAAGTCTGCAAAGTGCTTCAGCTTACATGTGTTTAGACACGCAAATGTTCGCATCCAGGAAATACTTCTTCCATTCCTCTAGATCAGTTTTTGAGGCTTGTTCACACTTAATCCAGTGTGTTCCAGTACGGTTAGTTGCTGGCATGCACTAGATCACATAATTACAGCCCCCCTGCGTTCTGGGGCGGGAGAGGGCATGGTGGTGCATTTAAGTGAATGGCAGCACAGCCACTCCTCCTGGCCTTCACTGCGATCCCTGTCACCAGAACACGTGGCACAACAATGCCCATGGTGTGTTTACACAAAATAGTGCCTGCGCTATTTTTTGCGATCACACCACACCGCACTGCACCGCAGGCATTGTTGTGCCACGTGTTCTGGTGCGGGCGATCACACTGCGGGCCGGGAGATATGACTGCGGTGCCAATTACTTGAATGCACCACCGCACCCCAAAATGCAGGGAGGCTGTAATTATGTGATCCAGTGCATTCAAGCAACTAACCGTGCTGGAACGCACTGGATTAGGTGTAAACAAGCACTAAATCCCAGCATGTACACACACACACACATATTAATTACAGAGAAATATTGATTGTGGATGCAGAATTCTCTACTTTGATTTTACGCAGCTCTAGATTACAGCACAATGCAACAGCCCCATAATATACAATACTGCTGCATCCAGATTCATAAATGATATGCGTTGTACAGATCTGAAAGCAGTTTTTATGTCCATGTGCATGAGTCCTCTCTCCTCTACACTACTCAGGTGATTTCCATTCACCATTAAGCTGTTTTACATATACCTCAGAGTTTATCCTGTGTTGTAAACCTTTCGCTGCCGGAGCATACACATAAATTAACTTTTTTTTACATGAAAATGCACTTAAAACCTCAAAACATGTCCTGAAAGCAGAGACCCTGAAGAATAAAACTATGGTAGTTGCACTTTATTTTGTTGTATGATATTTGTGCACCTGTTTAGCAAAGCTATATATTCAGTAAAAGATACTAACATTAATTTCACACAAACACAATAAAATCTCCAAATTTTTTGTAAAATTTAAAAGATGAAACTCAGTCTAATAAATAGGTACCAAAAACGTCGAGACCCAGAACTGCGTGCGCCTGAGACGGTGACAAACTACGATACCCAAAATTGTTCATAGGTGACGCTCTGAAACCCCTTACAGGTTACCAATCTTAACCATAAATGATGCCCTTAGAATTATTCCTCTCTTTCTGTGCAGCAATACCCACCATGGGTTGTACAATCGTCATTTGTGTGTGTAGGATTGTGAGAGTAATGAATGAGCAAAATTCCAGGACTCCTGGGTTCCAAGAATGTCAGACCTTGTTTATTGACATCCAATCAGGTCTCACAATGTATGGCAAATATCAGACCTTGTTTATTGAAATTCAATCAGGTCTCACAATGTATGGCAGCGTTTCCGAAAGCACGATTCCTTCTTCAGGAAAACAAAGTGAAACTTTGTTTGCCTGAAGGAACCTTCATTTAACTTTAAGCTTGTATTCATTTAACTTTATTGCTATCACAAAGGAGCTGTGAGCCTGTGATAGCAAAAAGGGACTCACTTTTTGAGTGACAGGTACTCTTGAGGCCAGGTTCACACCATTTTCCAGACCAGATCTTGTAAGAGGTGAATGGCGTTTTTACTGTGATTTTGGTGTGCGTTCCAGTTTTGTTTAGCTTAAAATGGGCTTTCAGGTGTGTTTGCATGCGTTTTGAAAGCGTTTCCATGCGTTCCAGACCAGAGAAAATGTGACAAGCAGTATTTTTGTCTGTTCCGGAACGGACTGCGCTGGTGTGAACATAGTTACATAGTTACATAGTATTTGAGGTTGAATACGCAAATGATGTGAGCAAGCCCTTATAGAGACATGTAGGCCTCCCCTGCACTTAGGCAAATCTGTTTCCGGACACAGTGTTCTAAATTGACCGCTTCACCCAGCACTCCTGGGTTCATTCTTCACAGTAGACATAATGAAGCGGATGTGACTCCATCTTTCCCCACTCACCATCCCGATGTGCTGTCTTTTAGTTCCTTGCTCCCAGTATAAGCAGGTAAAAAGGCACCATAGAAGCAATCAGGCAGTTTTATAGCTGGCATCCTTCTCTTTCTGCTGTCGCGACCACAAGTCTGTTTACATGCCGCTACTGCCACCGCTGTAGTAGTTACGGTGGTGGCAGTAAAAGGGTTAAGGCCCATAGGTGTGAATGCACAGAATCACAGGTATCAACATTTTTTAACACCATGATTGAGCCACAAGCACCCTGCAAAAAGTGCTAAAGTAAGGTAGAGGCCGGTGGGTTAAACAGTGGTGTACAATGAGGGACACACACCAGACATATCGGATATGAGCAGCAACCATAAGTCTGCAAGAGAGAAAAGACTAGAGTGGCCTCCTACTGGACAGGTAAGTATTACAGATCTTCCTCAAGGTGCTTGTGGATAATATTTTGTGTAGTGAAAAGGTTTCTTTTAATGAGACCCTATATTTAATAGGGGCATGTATCTAAAAACTGGACAGAAGAAAAATTCTCAGCACAGTTGGACAACTTGTACATAATACCTAATCAGATTTTGTTTTAATCTCAGAGGCAACAACACAACGACTCTGATGGGGAAATATCTCCATCGTTCTCTGGTGACTGGCTGCTCAAGCACCAAACACTGTACTGAAGGAGTCAGGGGGAACATACAGTATATGCATGCCTCCTACCCGAACGTATAGGCATCTGGAAAAAACGAAATGTTTGTTGCTGGATGCACATTGGGATTTTTGCCTTGGGTGATAGTGGACTTTGTCCCACCACTGTGTATATGTATTGCATTTAGCGTCTGCCTGGAGCTCAGATTTGAAATGTTCATTTTTGGCAAGTAGCTAGATGTGGGAACTATTTTACCAACTAATTTGTAATTCTGGGCAGTCACTATTTTGATCCAGGTCATCCAGATCATTACCCCTGCCAGATTGCACAGCCAAATCCTCATCCTTGGGCCAAGCAAACATCCCCATGACTGATGATAGGACATTAACAAATGCAGCAGCTCAATGATAAAGTCAAGCCTCTGCTCTCACACTGTCGGCACAATTGGGCTACAGTAGAGTCTTACTTGCTCCTAGTGTTGTTTCTTCCACCTCCAGTATAAGCACTGCCATCCAATGGATTACAGGGGAACATCAAATACTTACAATGGTTTAATTACACCATACACTTAATGGCTTTTAGTAAATGCATAGTTACTTAAAGGAGAACTATGAGGTGAGCAGCTGGGCAGATCCCGTCGTCTAAGTCGGGATCCGCTCCGGCGTCTCAGTATACCGCGAGCTGTAGCTCGCGGTATACTGAGCTTAGGGTAACGGGAGGACGCTAGTTTGTGTCCTCCCGTTACCCTAAGGAGAACTATGGGGAAAAACACTGACCCCATAGTTCTCCTTTAAATGATAGGTCGGGACCCAAACTGAACAAAGTATCACCGGCATACCATAGTATCAGTATAAGAAGCAGGAAATGTATTCACAACCAATGTGATGTATGAACCTCTTTCTCAGGCAGCAGTGACCTGTCTGCCTGAGAAAGGTGTACATTAGTGGCTCCGAATTGTTGCATTATTTGGTAATAATAAATGTCCTGCTGTTCATACTAATACTGTGGTGTGCTGGTGGTACTTCATACATTGCACTACTCCTGACCGCCATCTGTCACACTCAGAGTTGTTAAGATCTGAAAGTGTGCTGGAGCTTACAAATATTGGGACCTAAATTGGGTCGTTTATTGATAGATCAGCATATGACAGAGGGGCAGCGGTTAGCTCTTCTGCCTTGCAGCACTGGGTCCCTGGTTTGAATCCCAGCCAGGTCACTATCTGGAAGGAGTTTTCATGTTCGCCCCGTCCTTGTGTGAGTTTCCTCCGGGTACTCCGGTTTCCTCCCACACTCCAAAAACATGCTAGTAGGTTAATTGCCTCCTGTCTAAATTGGTCCTCTATGTATGCATGTGAGATAAGGACCTTAGATTGTACGATTCTTGAGGGTAGGGACTGATGTAAATGTGCA